TCAACTTGCACGAAGAACGTTATCCTGGTAATTGTTTTCCTTTTAAATTTTTTTGAAGGCCCTCAGGCTGAAACGATGAGCATTGATAACATTGAGAGTGATGCAGTCAGCATCAGCTGGAGGCCGGCTGTCCTGCCTGGTGACCGCGTGTTCAAGGTCATTGTGGATGACATTCGACCCATCCCCTGTCCGCGGCCAACTCCTGACGACAACGACAAGCATTCGTGTTATTTATGTGGTCTTACTGGGGACTGGAAGTACAAACTACAAGTGTTCAATTGTAGCTCAGCGGACGACTTCAGCCAGTGCCAGCCCTACACCTCCTCCCAGACGGTGAGAACCCTTCCTAGAAGTGAGTTTATTCCCCCATCATGCCTACTGTTTATTTTTCCCATTTTTACCTTGGAAAGTCTATGTGGCAGACTAATGTTTTTTTTTCGGCAATTCATCATCGGGCCTATACAATGGACTCTGATAATGCAGATAGCGGAATTGGACAGCGTGCATGAATTTCTAATGTTTTAGAGTCATCGTTATCACAGTGACTGCGTGGCAAGATCGAAATGTAGAGGTCATTGGTTTGAGAGGGGGGATGGAGAATAGAATAGGCGGCGAGTATTAATCATGAGTCTGGTACGCGGAATGAAAATCACTGTCACGTGCACGAAGAGAACGAATATCATCATGGGGTGGGAGCGCACGTAATCGCCACCTGGCGGAACATTATGGAAACGTGAAAAATAAGTGAAATAGGGCAAGCTTAACTTCCAAATGTACGGAAAGTCTATTCATGCGAATACGCAGGTAGTTAAGGCCGCACAACTAGGAGTATTTATGAAGGTTTACAATTTTTCGGAAACACACTTTCCTATATTACGCGAACTGTAAAGTGCGGTCGTTACCAAAAAGCCCGACTCTCTAACATATATTCTAACATTGTGTCGCGAGAAATGCCTGTTCTTTCCTCTGTTTTGTCATCGTTTGAAATTCGAAGGACAAAGGCAAGCAGATTTTCGTTTATATGTGGATATTCGGGCCAGTGACTAATACATTTAAAGAGAATTTCGGTTGCAATCGTATACGTACCATTTTACGATTTTCAGTGATTTCGGTCGATTGCCCACAAATGTGGATTCTTTTCTACGGGTTTACCAAGGCGTTATGATCTGTAGCGTTTACTCGAGTAGGAGCTTTCTTAAATATCATAAAACCCCGCATTTTGTTCAATTCTGGCCTATGGATCCTCTAAAAAACTGAACTGAAATGAACTCTTCTATAGTCAACAGGTTTTTTGCGTCTCAAATCCAGTTAATAAACAAAACTGGCAACCTCAAATTTGTGTTAAACTACCCCATAAAAATTTGGATCTAAAAATTACATGAATTGGACAACCTACAGCCGTTGAGTCCACGTTCGAACCCACATCTTTTCGTAATCAAGCGTGATAAATCTAACGGGCTAACGGATCAAAGCAGATCACCAAAAAAATGGCTATTACTTGCTAACCACTTGTCGTCAAACAGATCTCGTTTTTTCTCAGAGCGTTCCATTAGAACGCTGCATATATTTTCAACCCTAACGTCCGGTCCTATCGTGTTAATTATGCGGACGCGATCATCTTGAAGAGGAATATTTTTTCCGGCAAAAGTAGCTTATGTAGTCCGCCTTATATACCCTGAGTCTCAGCATTTTTTCCTACGAAAACTGTGTTTATAGGGTTTTTTGGAGTGGCGAAATAGGATAGACAGGGAAGACAATTTTTAAAAGTAAGCGTAAAGGGGAAAAATGTAGTCGAAGTTGTTTCCCGCGGCCGCTGGGAGTAAGTTTTTCTGCATGTAAATTGAAAGTGTGCGCAGCGTTTTGCGCCGCGGACTTTACTAATCTAACTCCAGAACGGTAAGTTGGACCTCAGGTAATTTGCAGTAGACGACCTAACCACCATTTATATTTTTCGGGAATTTCAAGAAACCTGCATTTTATAATCAAGTTTATCCGCAATACATCAAACGATAATGCAAATTGGGAACATCTACAGATATAAATTAACAACACTTCTAAACACAATACGATTAAAATGCATAAAGCAGTTACTAAAGTATATTCCACTACGTGTCCTAATTCTCTCCCCCCCCATAAAATCCTATAACCACTGTTTTCGTAGGACAACATGCTGGGAGTATGGATTAAGGATGGGGACTACATAAGTTACTGTTACCTTGGTTCCTCTTCAAACTTCACGTAATATATTCGAATGCTGAATTTGATTTAGAAGGAAACGGAGAGAGTTTTTAAAGCAAAATGACACTTAGGATTTGTTAGCAGGAAATACTGTCGTAAAACATGCGAGTGTGTGTGAAAGCCTGAAGTTTGTGGACGTTATTCTTATTTCCGGTGTAGGGCTCATTGCGCAGCTTTTGTAATATGTGATGTTCATTTTGCTCACAGAAAACGCTCGTATTTCTGGGCTTCCGTGTAACGTCAAGTGCTACTTCTACAGGCTTCCTTTGATTGGCACGGATGAGGAATATCCGCAGCCAGCGCCGGCGACGGAACTCCTAGTCTCTGGCATTCTCACTTATTGACCAAAATACACTCGCTCGTGTTTATGCGTCC